TCTATGAAAAGTTGATTTTTTCCCCATACAAAATACATGGAAAACTTTGGGTGCTTTGAGCGGCCTCTAAATATTTTTTTGATTTTAAAATAAAAAAATAGGGGTATACTTTTGTCGGTGTAGAAGAATCCTAGGGTAAGAGAGCATAAAAATTCCCAATTTAATTTTTCACCTGTATTTTTAGACCACCCTAATATACATATGTATGTAAATAAGATTTTCTTCTTCAAAGTACGTTGTAGCGACGTATTAGAATCAAGTTGAGCAACTAATTAGTCAAAATTCCTCACAACATTGTCTGCTTACGTTTGCTTGAGTAAACAGTCGTTGTGGTTTATGATCTTTTAGTTTGATTTTAACCGTTTCACACCTTTGCCACAAGCAGTCTAATGAATATCCTGGAGTTAGACATGCGGATAAATAATTCACAGCTATGTATGTGCATAATGATGTACCTAAATATGTATGCAGTATATAAAAAATCAATTAGGCGCGAAATCCGCCTGTTGATTATTTAAAAAATTTGTCAACTTAAGTTCCAAAGAAATTCGGCAGAAATTAGTGACAATTCATATTCTAAAAATATCGACTGATTTCGTTTTAACTTTAAACGTTTTGACAAAATGAGATAGCACATTTTTTGTATGTGCTGCATGGCTATGCATGTATGTATGTAGCTATGTAAATTCATTCAAATTCACATAACAATAAAACTACGTACAGTGGAACCTCGATAAAAAGAAGTTTCAGGTGTTTATCAAATGCTTCGTTATGTAAATAGTTTCGCTACATTTACATATATAATATCAGAACCTCAATGCCATGAAAAATGCAAAATTTTAATAAAAATGTGTTATAAGTAGGTATTGTTAAATTTTTTGTATAACGGGACTCTAACCGTCAACATATTAGGTTTGTTCAACAACTTTTGCAGTTAGTACCAGTAGCGAGAGCGTTAACTGAGAGGAAATTTGAGAGGAATAAACAATTATCAGAAATAAATTAATTCTCTATATTTTTTGCGTCAAGACGTCACAAGTTTTTAACGTTTTTTTTTTATATTTGACGCATGCAATTTTCTGCTAGTCAAATTTGCAGAACTCTCGTGTGGTTACGCTCTCTTGCAAAGTTTCAGTGAAAGCCAATAACAATTTTTTGATATTGAACAAAGTAACGGGACTTTGACCGTCAATATATTCCGAAGGTTTTCATGCTGAAAATGTTTCGCAACAACACATTTTTCTCGGGAACTCAGCAAAAATTTTGTTATACCAAGTTTTACATTTTATCCGGGTTCAGTATATCGCGGTTTCACTGTAGTTGTAGATAAAGAGAACACTCAACAAATGAGCCGTAAAATAATCAATAAAGATGTTATGACAAAATCAATGGGGAATCCGTTAAACGCAAAAGAAAAACGTATTAGTTGGCCAAAAATTTAATAACAGTGATCAAAAATGGAGAAACAAAGAAAGAGGAGCGCGAAAAAGAGAGAAGGGAAAAGTGATACCATTCATATACATACATACATCCTACATATTTACCAACAGACATACATATGTACATACACATACATATGTGTTTATACCAGCATTCCTATGTAAAAGTTATTTTTTTATTGATTAACCTGCGCAAATTTTTGTGCAGCGAAAGCCTGAGTTGTCGAAACTCGTCATTTCCAACTCAACTTGTCATGCTTTCGATGCAAAAAAAAAAAAACAGTGGGACTCATGCATAGAAAGTGAGCTTCAGGACCGACTCGATTTTCAGTACAAAGTCTTGAGCTTAAGCTCCCGGTTACCCTGTAACTTGTAACCCTTGTAACCTGGCTCTGGCATCCAAATCAACTTAATTTGGAAGTACTTATTTCGAGGCGATTGAGAGAGAAGTGAGCCATTACTGTACCAGCTCCGATCTCACCATAAGCGATGCTAAAGTCCCGATTGCCGCTGGCTATCAGACTCTGCTTGAAACACGCTGCAGATATTCGGATGCCTAAAATCGATGTTTACGGAAAGTTCCTGACAAAACCACCTTCTCCAACTTTTTCGTCCAATTTCGATCCAACTGCGGACTTCAGTTCTAAAGACTTCCTTTCTCCTACTCACTAATCGGAGGGATGTGCGTAGAGGAGGATCCATCCGGGGTCAGTATCGGAACGCACTGATCAGTTTACTGAGGTATGAAGTCGAAGCTTCAAACCCATACACCGGGTTAAAAAGAAACCCAGTGCTCCTTAACCTAATGGTGGAGCGAGTAGCGGCAGAAGATTACCTCTGGAATTGGCAAGTGATGCCTTTTTAACTCGCTTTTCAATACTTCACCGAGCCCAAGAGGAACGCAACCGATGGAGGGAAGGTGATAAAAAGAACCTTATACCTGCTATTGACTAAGTTTTAATTAGGACGATAAGAGCCACGATGCCAGCATCATCTCCTTTGTGGCTCCACCAGAAAATACTAGAGGAGGATGATCTAGATAATTCCGTACGAAAGCATTATCCCATAATAATAGCATAAGTGCGAATTCTCCCATTTCAATCAAAACCAAAACACTGTGCGTTGGGGACAAAGTTCACATCCATATGTAATAAGTATTGACGATAAGTCGCAGATGATTTTTATTTGCGAACAGTGACGTCGATGTGCGCAGAACGTTTATTTTTTTTCAGCGGCCAGTGAGTGAATGAGTGTATTCATGGAATTTCGTTGAATGGTAAATATATAGAAGTACATAAGCATTTGTTTTTCTCCCCTTGTTGATGTTGATAAACTGGTCTCGCGCGTTGTTCCAATTAATTAAGAATTTGTCACACAAGCTCTGTATTAAGACTTTCAACGTTCTCAGTGTTATTCCTCTCGACGCTCGACGGCTCCAGTCTGCCGCCACGACCAGTTTTCCTCTCGAATTGTCGCCCTAATTAATATTGGTGTTTTCCTAATTTATAGCCTAGAAAAATTAAAAACAGTCACTGGAATTTTGTGTCACTGGATGCCGAAAAGGCATTCACATCCTGAGCCATAAGTAGTCAATTGACGTCAGTTGTTTGTTTTCTTAAATCGTAAATGAAAAATAAGTGCGAAGTTCTGCATGACGTGTGACACGGGTTCCTGTGTTGACCATAGTTTGATTATTCTAAAGATTTATCTTTAGTTCAGAAGAGTTTCGATTGTTATCAGATGGCGGATTCTGATTATTGTTTACACTTTTCTGTTTTTTTTTTGCGGATTGTTGACAACGCTTTTGAATACTTTATGTAGATTCTATGCTTTGATTAGCATTTTTTTGTTTTGGAAATATTTTGTGTTTTTTTTTGCCATTGGCGCCAGCTAGGTGGTGCAATTTTTGTATTGTATTGTGCGAGTGAATATGTGGCGATAGCTCGCAGTGAAAGATTGGGATTTTGCGTGTTATCAATGTTTTTTTTTTAATAATTCCGTTAGTTGCTATCTATTGTCGCGTAGCTCTTTTAAGGTGACCAGATGCTTAAAATCTGAAACTGGAAGACAATTTTTAAAAGATTCTAATAATATTGGTGGCCGCTATGGTGTAGTGACTAGCGGTGTGCGCTACCATTCCGCAGGTTCGATCCCAATCCGACCGACATCAAAAAATAAAACAACAAGTTTTTCTCAAAGCGGTTGCCCTAGGCAGGCAATGGCAAACCTCCGAGTAGTTTATTCTGCCTTGAAACACAGCTTCCCATAAAAATACAATCGCCATTGGGAGTTGGCGTAAAACTTTATAAGTTTAACGGCGTTGAGACTGTAGGCCAGAATGAAGCAACTTCCAGGGACCACATCAGCATACCTAGGTCCGTATTTTCAGGCCCATAGTAATACCGCTGGGATCGTGAAATGTTACTACCCAAACTGTCACCGAATGCTGATGGTTTCCGTATTCCTATATTTCCGAGTCCATGAATATTATACTTCTTCTAAAGACTCCCAAACTCTCCGCATGTCTTCCGATAGCAATATGGCCTGTTAGCATACTCACGGCTGTAGATAAGTCCCATGTGCCCAGCATGGCGAGACTCTTTGACCGTTTCCTTCCATTCTGGCAAGTTTCGGCTTACTGAAAGGCGCGTAAACCTAGGTATTACTTGCCTGTTTAAGAAATAAACCATTAGAATACGCATATTTAACACCTTCCAAGAAGTCGATAGTCGAACCGATGTGCCTTTTCTTGCAAGTTCGTTCACCCTCTAGGCCTATAGACCTACCCTTATAGAACCATAACCCATAGCAAGTGAATAGCAAACTGCTTAGGCATTCCATTTAGCGACCTGTTCCAGTCTGCTATGGTAGTTTCTGGCTTAAAAAGTTAACTTTAGGCACTGATCCTCCTGAAGAAAATTCGCAAAATTTCTTTTCACAACACAGCAACGATAGATGGATTGATGATATTGCCGAAAAGCAGACAGGAGAAAACAGAAAACAAAACGATTGTAGTGACAGTCGCGCTGTCGAACTTGTTTGTTATCAACGCCGCGACTCGAGCGCAAGTCAGTGCTCACGTTTGCGCTTGCGTTTAACGCTACCGAACAGAGCGGCAGCACGGTGAGCACCTACTGGTCGCGCGAGTTTATATTTCAAAAGTTAGTAAGTAGGCAGCAGCGAACAACAAACAAAAATAAGAGATAATAAAAAAATGGCGCAACAAAAAGCAACCGGCAAATTTTAGCGGATTTCAGTGAGTTTTCGAAATAAAATTTCACGTCTTAGTTAGAATGAGCTTAGATTTAAGCGAGAGTTTGAGGCGAGAAGACCTTGTGAAAGAAACACAACGGACAACCAAAGTGAAAGCCGTTAAACGGATTATTTGAACTGTGTTAACTGATTTGCAATACAAATATTTTCAATAAGAAAAAGAACATTAAAATTTTTTATCAAAGAAGAAGTGCCTGTAAAAGTGAAGTAGCAGACAAAAAAAAAACGCACAAATTGCAAAAAAAAAATATTTCGACAAACAAAATATTTATCAAAATTTTAAAGACAATGAGTTTACCAAGAACATTATTTGCTGTACTACTCAGCTATGCGTCACTGTGCGCCCTCAGCGGGCCCCCGATGGTGCAAGGCTTCTCCATTGGCCAATCGAAATATGGACGCATCGAAAAGTTTCCCTACCAAGTGATGCTAATCGGCAAGCAGTTGTGGCGCAAACGCATCCTCTGCGGTGGCACTTTGCTCGATCAGCGCTGGATACTCACCGCTGGCCACTGCACCATGGGCGTCACACATTTCGACATCTACCTGGGCGCACTCACCGTTGAAGATACACCCGAAACGGGCCGTCTAGTGCTGCGTTCCAACAAATTCATCGCACACGAAGGCTTCAATCCCGAAACAGCCGCCAATGACATCGCACTCATCAAGCTGCCGGTCGATGTAGCCTTTACACAGCGCATACAACCCGCCACACTGCCATATCTCAGCCGCAAAGACGCACTCACCGGCGCCAAAGTGGTAGCCACCGGCTGGGGTGCCAACAGCGAGCTATCCAATTACAATCCTATGCAATACACCGAACTGCGCGTGATCTCAAATCAGGAGTGTGCCAACGAATTCGACGTCATTACGAATGGCGTACTCTG